CCCCCCCCCTTCAACGTCTTCCTGTTTTATGTTCCTTCTTTCTTTGGCTCCTGATAAATTTAATCAATTTCGGGGCCCCATTCGGAACACTCTCTGACTGAGGAGCATAAACAACTAAATTACTGGAGCCGCTGATTTTTATTTATTTTTTTTCTTACACTCAGCTCAAGCTTCAAGTTTTACTTTTGTTTAGCCTTCGGCCTATAATCAATTCCAAGTAGAAAATTAATAGGGACGGAAACAATTCTCTGGCAGAGGGAGAGATAAAATTGCCCAAAACTTTTATCATCTCAGCAGCTTTGTGAAGTCCTGCCCCATTTCTCCTCCAGTTTAGGAATAGAAATGAAAAGATTCACATAATTTTCCAGCCCTTAAAGAAATGTATTGAATGTATTTTTGCATTCTGCTCTGTCGTTGAGGGGCGTTAATGTTCCGTCTGATCATCAGCGTCCTCTTTTGGGGAATTCACGCAGATTAGCGGGAGTCCCATTAGATTGCTGAATTGCTATGAAAAATAAACCATCTGAGGCTGGGCTGAGTGAAAATGTCTGCAGGGAATCTTTGATTTTTAACCAAGTGGTGGACTAAAAAGTACAAAATAAAACGTATATACCCCAACTCTTATCATTTTCTTGTCAGTCATTTTAAGTTAAACTACTAAATCTGTCCTTTAGTAAAATATAGCAATCAGTAATGCAATTATCAACTGTAATAATTGCATTACCATGCAGCTATTTTGTTAGTTTTTACCTGATGTATAAAATTAATATCTTCAATCAAGTGATAATCAAGTGATATCAAGTGATAATACTGAAGCACTTAGTGTTTTTTTTTTTAAACACTAAGTGCACATAGTGGAATTTTATAGCATACTGCTTCAGTTAGAGAAATGCTACATATATCTTTTAAGTCATATATGTCAAATATGACTTAAAAGAGATTTGGCTTTGTAATTTTATGCCTTGAAATTGGGCCTCTGTCTCTTTAAAAATCCCTGCTCTTTCTGAAACTCTGCCTTCAGGAAGTCATCACATTAACCCTTCAACAACGTTTTTAGCAGCGTTGCACTAAGAAGTAGCTCCTATTGTGAGCTCAGCAACACTAGGTGTTCCACCAGGTGTTTGCTAATTGCTGTTGGCTAGTCTGAAGGAGCTGAACATCCATAAAGCAACTCTCTGGGTATGTTTTTGATTAGGGAATGACATGATGTAAAGCTCAAAAAAATCAATTTTAAATAATATTGTGTTAATTTCCAATTTTCCTTTAATGATTTTTTAGAGTTGAATATTTCCAGATTAAGCCCAACATTATGGTACACAGCAACATCTGTGGGCATTAGAACTTCTACCCAAGACTGTTGAAGTTCATTTCATTTATTGGTTTATTTTGGTTTATTGTTGTTTACAGCCTGAGCCAATTTGTGCTGTCTAGCTCCTAGTAGACAGCACAAATAGGTGATCCAATAGGTAGTTGGATCACCTATTTGTTTTTCAGTGTGTATTTTCTTATTCTAAAAAAAAAAACCTGAAGCCACACTTGATCACCCTGTTTCAATTTTCTAGTAAAATCCGCCAGATTTCTAGTTAAAATATACACTCATTTCAGAGTTCCTGAGAGACTGCCCCCTAGTGTGCTGGGAGAGAAATAGACTTCAGGGATCAGTGGATCCTTCACCATGCTAAGCAGTGATTTCCCACATTATTCATCTGTTTACACTAAAACACCTCTTCATTTATTATGTTAAACTCTAGACGTTCTCCAGGTGATCATAATTATGGTTATTCTGAGGTGTCAAGATGCCACATTTTCCCACAATTCTTTAGCATTGAGAAACTCTTGGTGTATTATGTATTATTACTATCATTATTATATTTCTTACAGTCCTGTTAACTGTGTATTTTCTGACAAGTTTTGGTTTGTTTTCTTGGCCATTCCCTGACATGGTGAAGTTTATGCAAATTGCATGTTTCCTCAACTTTCCCATTTTGATGTGTGACTAAGATTATGATTATATTATTGATTAAATCACCTTGGAAAAGTAAACTTCAGATTACAAAAATGCTGCGGATACCTTCAATTCATAGGAAATGTTAAAGGGAGCTTAAGAAATAGTGTGGCACGTGAGATTTTAGAGCTGGAAATAACATTTGGGAACATTTATAGAAAGGTTGAGCTCTTCTGCCCGTGTGAAACCCAACAGATTGCTACAGTTTGGGCTTATCTGTTTAAGATGCATGCCTTCCTGCTTCAATCTGCATATCTCTGCCACCTGTCCACATGCTGCCTGCTTTTTCAGCCTCCCCAGAAGGCTTCAGCGATGGGAACGCTCTCATTGCTCCATCACGGCTAGCTTTTGCAACCTCTAAGTGTTGACATGTGTATCTTCAGCCCGAATGATAATACATTTCTTTTGTGGATTTTTTTGTGTGTGCTTAATCTCTATTATATTTAGTGTCCCAGTTCATGTTTGTTTCATGTGCCAACCTTCAAGTTTGAGTGTGACTATTTCAAACTGATTTAATACATACCCACCTCCGCCCCCCTCCCCAAGTACTGTGAGACTATTTGTTGTGTGACATAATTAATCAGAATTGGGGGAAAAACAGAGTAAAAATTCAAATCATAAATGAAATAACTGGAAAAGAAATGTTCAAGTGTTCACTGCTGTGCTCCTCATCCTCGGTGTCCATGGAAACAGGAACCTTTGAGACGTGCTGGAGGGTCAGGCGCTGGCGAGAGTTCCTGCTTCACGTCTTCTTCAATGCCTGTTATCTAGCTGGGAGACGGTGCTGATGAAGGAGGGACCGGGCCGCCATGTCTGAGTGAGTCCCACCAGCGAGCGCACCCCGGCGCGCGCTAAGCTAATCAAACAGGTTAGCTTCGGAGATGTTGACCTGTCCAACCTGGACCTCTTTCATACACAACACTTCATTTGCATTTATATGACAACAAAATAAAACATAATTTTATATTTAAAACAAATCCTCCCAGCTTGAAAAGTAGGCAATATTAACGTCAAAAAAGTCTATATTGAGAGTCCCCTTTTTAAATGCAGTACAGTTTTATTCATAAACAGACCAGCCATCTGCTCTGACAAGGTAACAACACAGTGAGAATTAAAAAATAAATAAAAAAAACAGTATGGTGGTCCCAACTGTCATGTTTTGGAGGACACACACTTGTTAAAATCTGTCATCACCTAAAGCAGCGAGTCTCACCACTGACTCACACCGATATCCACGTGATAATGCTGCACATGCAGGATCACTGAACCATGATGGCTCTCAATTCATAATGTTTCAGCTGAAAGGCTAAGCTTACCTAAATATTTAGCTTCAAACTAAATAATTAGCAAGATACTCAGTTTTAAGCTAACTCTTTAGCTTTATTATATTTTGCTCCAAACTAAATATTTATCTTCTAACTGAATATTTAGCTTCAGTTTGAAGATAAATATTTAGCTTGCTAACTAAATAGTTTGAAACTGACATTTATAAATTATTAAATAACATGGTAAAAAAAAGTGAATCATGTTTTTTTTTCCTCATATGACAAACCTTAATTATTGATGTTAAATTTTGACTGTACAAATCCAGAGACAAGGTGCTTCTAAATAGAAAATGTTGCCGTTTGTGTGAATTGGGATACATTTCCTACAAAATGAACTGGCTCTTTTATCTACAACAGAAGCAACAAAAATAAAGAAAAAATAAAGAAAATATTTCAACCTGAAATCACATGTGTGTTACTGGCAAAAACCTTTGCAAGAGATTGATTTTGCATCCCGTGACCTGGAGCGAAAAGCCTCTTCTTCTGGGCGAATTATGATTTTGAGTCCCCAGGAGAAAAATGCAGAACATCTCATCCCAGTACTAAGAAATCTCAATTTGAGAATGGAAATCTTGGTCAATATTTGTCACCTGGTGAACCACATAGAAAAAAAGAAAAATAAAAGCATGCATGGATTTAGTCTTTTTTCTTCTTCTTCCATCTCCTTTCTATGCAGTCCGTAAACTTCTTGTTACAATTTCAGATGTCTGTCAGAATCAGGCTTCTTCACCCTTTTTTTTAACATCAAACACAGACACAAACCTCATGCATTTTGTATTTAATAAAAAAAGAAAATCCACTGTCTTGGCATGATGTGAAAAGTGCTATTTCCAAAACAAAATAATTGCTGCGACAGATAATTGTTATAAGGATGTCATCAAACCAACAACACATTCGTTCCAGTCTGCGATTGTTGGTGCGACGCCGGACAGCGGGAGGTGTCGCACTCTGTAATTGGTGTCTAACATGGCAGTGAAGTGCTGAAAAATTGTTGCGGACCAGACTGACAATAGTTCAATCAAACTGCACCAATTTCACACTGTCTTTATGTTCGAAGAACGGACGAATCATAAAAGCCTCCCAGCCGTATACGCAACAATAAAAGTCGCAGGCAAGTCAGGAGTGTTACGTTTTATTTGGTCGTTTCTTTTTTTTTTTCAGCTTTTTGTTCCTCTCCACAGGTTAAAACCCATTATAATAGTCATAAGAAATAAAAACACTTTCACATACTGCATACAGAAATAATACTCTCGACGCACAGTAAAAACAGTTGATTCAGGCCCAGCCCAGTGCGAGATTTCACACAAAAAAAAAAAAATTAAAATTGAGGAGGATTTTTGAAAAAGCACGAAGGCCTGCAAAGTCTTTAACTCGCTTGAGTAGAGACGGTCAAACAGTTACAACATGCACGTACAGGCTGAAGCATGTCTGTGGTCAAAAAAAAAGAAAAAAGTAAAAAGGAGCGGAGAAAAAAAAGCAGTTAAGCAGTTCAACATAAAATTGGAAGTTTGGGTGCCCCAAAGAAACATTAGGCTGAAATTTCTGCATATTTTTACCGAAATAGCTCAACTTTTAATCCTCAAAAGGCAAAGAAACTCTGACAGCACCCTGTAGAGAAAATATTTTACATTAAAAATGAAGAAATAGAAGCACCCAAAAGCATGCCTCGTCAAGACTCCAGTGAAAACCTAAAACAAGTATTTATCATCTTAAAGTAGACTGCGTCAACGGCCACCTTGAAAGAGTCTCTATCCAGTGTTTAAGAAGGTGGCCAGTCATAAATATCCTTTTTGACCGTCGTATGGAAAAACTGTGAGCAGGGAAGTTAAAAAAAATAAAAATAAACCTTTAGAGGTTGAAAGCGAAAACATTTGACTAGTAAGTCACAGGGATTTGTTCCAACCAAAACCTTGCAAATTGCATCTGTGGATCATTGGGAGTTCAGCTCTAATGAACACCTGAAAGAGACCACCCACTGCTAAATACTCTCAGGCTTCTGTTAATTACTTTTAAATGCCTTACATGATCATAATTGGGATAATTTGCCAGTAGATAAAACAAGTTAGCCCTCAGAGGTAAAGCGGTTACAAACTTCCTGGCTTCCCCTCGCAGTGTTGTGATGAAACAGCGTTTGCTGGTCAAACTCGAAATATAATTATTGAAAATGTCAAAGTGATTTGAACACCGAAGATAACCTGAGAGCAAGCAAAACTGCTTTGTGAAAGGAGGATAAGAAGGAAAAAAAGAAGCTATCAAGTCCAACATTTCAAATATTTCTTAAACCAGGAAAGTAGTTGTTCCCTCTGGCAGCGACTACCATCAACAGGATGTCAGCGCACAATTAAAATGTCCTAAATACTTTTTTTTTTTTTATTCAAGTTTGTCCTTAAATGTGTTAATTACGTGTTAATAATTTGTTGTGGCAAATGTAGTCTTGTGTGTGTATATTTATTTTATTTATTTATTTTATTTTTCTCGTGGGACTTTTCTGTCAGGCTAGAATTCAAGTTGCAAGAGACATCTTCAGTTGAGCCAGATGGATGGAGTAATTGATATCCATCCATCAATTACTCGTGATGGATGGATAGCTATCCATCCATCACGAGTAAAGTGCAAATTTATAGGCAATTTATCGTTGTTTATACAGTTCTATAGCACTACAGGTCTTAAATTTCATTCATAATGGTATTAAAAAGGTGACTGGTGATAACTGTCAGTTTTTTTTACTTTGCTGTAGATAAATTCTGTCTTTGCAGAATGCTTGCAATTCAGCCGCACCAGCAGGATTTACAGGAGACGATAATTATTTCATACAGTCTTTGCAGCTAAGTGAGCTGAGGTTTTGAATTACACATTACGATTAGCATTTTAAACCAAACCAACCGAAAAGGGGGGAAATACTTTTTTACAGTCCTTTTAAAGATCGAAAGAGATTGCTTGTGAACTGTGATCTGTATTGGTTTATCAAATGAACAAGAGAAAGGCAGAGAAGATCATCTATCTGTAGGAGCAAACTGTAATAAATCATTTAGCGCCTCCATATCTAAGGGCTGATCAGAGTTCATTCAGCCAAATTGATTTGTAGCAGGGCTGTACCATTCTCCAAAAAAAACAGAAATTTACAAACTGAATAGCTTCTGCTAGAGAGGAAGATGACAAAGGTAATTGAGTGTCAGTAACTAGATGGAGCAATAATCACGAGCAAGCGGCTGCCGCATGCTGTTGAGTTCAATGAGGGAAGCGTGTTTGAGCTTGGACTTGATAACCTCGCTGAAATCTGTGTTTATTTTCCAGACGTGCTGCCAGTTGTCCGCAGGAGCCGGCGCTGTGCTCTTGGAAACCAATCGGCCTTTCTTTCGTGGCTCCTATTCATTTCGTTTTCATTGTTATTGGAAGAGAAGAGGACAGCAGATTGTGACCTTGGGTGCCTGTGCCGAAAGAATTAGAAATAATATTCACAGTTTTTTTCGGAGGGCGAGCATTAAGCTCCTGCACCTGCTGGCGATCTCTCACGGACGTGGGCTTTTGTCCGCATCCCCCACCGGGGTTCCGCCGTCGCTGAACGGTCAGCGAAAGGTCAGATTTAATCATTTGGTGCCGGCCTAATGGGGCCAAACAAAGGTCCGGGCAGGTGTTTCACTTTCATAAACGCTAAATAATGTTTCTGGCTTAGACAGGAAGCTGAGAAGTCATTGTGGCAAGCCAGAAAACCACACATTTGCAACATCCACCTAATTGACTGCAAGCAAACAAAAGAAACTGCCAGTGATAAATGGAGAGCCACCATATCATGGTACTGTAGGAGTTAAATAATAACCAGCTTGCCAAAGTAAAAACTGAATTGAAGCAGTTTGAATCTAGTCTTACTGAACTGCTTCTAATTTTCCCTGGAGAAATGCAACTGTTGGGGAAAAAAATAAGAAAATTTTAAGCCAAGCTGCAGAAACCTGCCATGTTTAAGGGCACACTATTCTTTCTCAGCTCTTTAGAAATTCAAATGATCTATTTCATTTTCCCTACCTCACTGACAAAGGTTCTTCTGGGGTTTTTTTCTTGTTCCAGAGCTTGGTTAGTTTACCCTGAAGGCTTTAAAGTAATATATTTCCTACCTCCATCATCATCCCACCATGTTGTTGCAGTTGCATATAGCACATTGATTTATGTTATTTACCCTGTCTATTTTTTTTGTTTGTTTTTTTTGACAGAGAAGTGAATTGGATTGTGTCTGCATGGTTTTCAGAAACTAGAAGATGGGAACACACAAACCAGCTACCAACACAAACAGATTTATATTTCAGATTCAGCTAGGAAAAACAAAAACAAGAAAAAGAAATATTACACAGTGGGAACGTATAAATAAATCTAAGATTTTAATTTATTTTAGTCCTAATGTAGCAGCTCACTGAAATTGCTAAGTTAATCAAGCTAGCCAACAAAAGAATTTAGTTAGCTTTTTACATTTCTTATATTGACCCAGTTCAGCTACTTATGTTTTTGTTATAGCTTAACTTTATGACTGTATCAAAAATAATTAAGCCTAGTTTATTATTTTTAGTTTTTCTTATGTATGCAAATCTAGAAATCAGCACAAACCTCAATTTAAATTGTGACGTATAGCACCCATCAAAAATATCACTAGAATTGGATTCACAGTGGGAAGTTATGCATAAACCAAACAAAATTTGCTAATAATATTTTAATAATAAAAAGAAAATGCTACTGCTAAGTCAATCAAGCTAGCTATCAAAATATTGTTCAGTTAGCTTTCAAGTTTCTTCTATTGATTTAGTTGTTTTTAATAAAGCTTTACTTTGTGGTTTAACTATTGTAAGTTCAAGCTACTTTAGTTCTTCTGTTCAAATCTAAATGCTCCTACTACCAAAAAATATGACCAGTATGATATGTGCATATGTTGAGTATTATTGTACCCAAAAAAAGATCTGTTAGGGTTAGGGAAATACTTCAACAACATGTGACAAACAAATTAAACATAATTTTCTCTCAAGGGCGTCAAAACACAAATGTTATTTTCTATTTGGGGCAAAAACCATAGAAGCTTTCAGTCTCAGTTTAAACCAAAATGTTCCTTTTAGAAGCCTTCAGCTGAAATCCACTAATCTGCTCAGTCTTGACGCACTTCAGCAAAAAGTGTCCAATTAGTGTTAATGCTGGGAGAAGAGCTAGCCAGCTGATGCTACACTCTCCCATTAACAGCTATAATCAATACATTGTACATTGGCTTCAACACCCAAACAAGATATGTTCCTGAAATGCAATTCAGTGTTTCCAAATGGAATTAAAATGCTAATTCTAATAACTGCACCAGCTAACTCAACGTCTAAATCAAAGTAAACAGGGAAAAATAAGCATGAATGTAAAGATGACTTTTCGCAGATCCAATAAACTAACTTTGGATAAAACTGAGCAAGCTTTCATTTTGTAACAGTCGATTGTAACATTACTGCGAGCAGTCTCAAAGGGGTCAGTGCTTTCTTTGCTGATTTTCGTCAGGTGACACACTGGCCATCTTTGCATTTAGTTATTACTGTAAATGGTCCGGGCATGTCTTTAAATGAAGTTTGTCAAATGGGGCCGGAGGGACTTGACTACCTGTCAGCTGCACTCAGGACAGTGACTTGTGGTGACGGACTGCCTGCTGCCGAGACGCGCAGAGACTCATCAGGACTTTTTTGTGGAAGCGTAGGTTGTCAGCTCAGGGGCGACGAATGGCAGCTACGCTTCTTAAATCTGACAGCCAAAACCAAGAATCAGACATCCCTGTCAAAGACATCCTGAATAAAATGTGTCAAGCCTTTTCCTCACAGCTAGCAAATTAGAAAACCAAGTTCAGGGAAAGCGAGTGCGGGGAGTATTTTTGTATGTGTGCAAAAACAAGCGCTTATTCATTCTGGGTCAATCCACAACAGCAGTGATTACCAGAAGGAAAAACATTCCCCCCTCTGACTGCAGGTAGGAAAGTAATCATCTGTGAGAAGCACAAGAGACTCCTTTTATTTCGAGTCATATTTTAGGGTCCTCAATTATTAAATAGAAAACGACGAGAAATGTTTTCCAAAACCAAATCTCTGAAGGAAAATTCAAATCTAGCCTAGGCGGGTTACTGAATGACAGCTGGAAGAGGATACTTCACACAGAAAACGTGACTGAAGCAATTTCCCCAAAAATTTCAATCATCTCAGATTCCTCGACGCACTTTTTTGATCACCGAAAACAGCAGCCGCCCAAAGGTAACGACTATCATAAGATAGCGCCTGCTTTAACGTGTTGACATACTGAGGCGAGGCATTAAGTGTCCGCTTGCAATCAAAGTTGCAAGTCATTATATTTTGTTTGCTTGGATCATTTTAACTAGTTCATTTTAACAAACATGTCTGTTTTGGGAGCTGGTTGGTTTTTTCTGTTGCTGTTTTAGATCTTTGTTCTGGTCAATTCATGACTGACCTTTCTGGGATTTCAATTCATACCCTCTTTAACTTAAATCTGAAACTGCTGCTGCGCAACTTATTCAACGAATAACTCACTCACTTTCTGGTTGAAGAGTGACCGAGTCAATGGCACCCAACCTCTGCCTACACCCCCTGAATGCTTTTTGGTTCTGGAAATTTTGGTTTTTGCTTTTTGGCTCAGTGAAATTATTAACATGCTATTAGTCATTTTTTTGATTGATATTGAACACGTGTCTACTGCGATATCATTGATTTATTGTCCATCCGCATCTGCTCATAGTCTAATGCAAGGAAATTTGGAGACTTGTCTAGTTAATGATGTCTCTACCAACCTCCTTCAGAAACATATTCATTATTGGCCCTCTTCCACTATTACCTACTCATTATGACTTGACTTGTGTCCACTCAGTTTGAGTCATTCTCCACTATAATTGGGGACCAGCTTTGTGTGGGTGCAGTAAAAGGCCATCACTGAAAAGTGAAAAGTACCCCAACCTGATCTGTATATGATGCAAGCGCAAAATGTCTGCACCTCGTCCTTAGCAATTTCAGAATTGCCTAACCCTAACCCAAATATGCTCACTGAGTTTTTATGAATCGTAGGTCTGATTTTCCTAAGGGCGTTGCCCTTATGACCCAACTAGAGACCGACACCATTTTGACGTTGTGTTTTCAGCCTACTTTGCTTGGTAGCAAAGTAGGCCATGTAGCTGCTGCCAGTGGAAAACACTTGGAACTGAGTCGAGTCTTGCTGAGTTGGTACTAGTGGAAAAGGGTCAGTAGATGTAGATCAGGTGTGGCTAGTGAAGGACAACAAAAGAACATCCTGAACATCATGAATTCATAATATGGTAAATTCATGAACAGGTTGATATAATCAACCTGTCTATGGGGTGTAGTTGCTACAACTTGGTACCATGGATCTCTCTCCTTAAAAGGTTAATGAAATGTTGTACATCATCTCTGTGAAATAAAATAAATAAGTAAAAAAAAAGCTGTTTTGCAGCTGTAGATGAAATAGAAAATTGTGGGTACAAAATAACTAGGAACCATTTGTCATGAGAGTTTCTTTCAGCAGCCATTGTGGCATACCGTTTTGTGGTTTCAGACTTCTCATTCTAAGGATAATTGTCTTTTCCTAACTGGCAGCCATTTAGCAAATCTTGTGGCCATTTAAGACAGCTTTAAAACTTTTAGAGCTAGGAAGCAGTGGGACTGCACATTGCTTGAAATCCCAGTAAATGATTTGGACCAGAACAGAATGTGTCAAAAAGAAAACAATTGCTCCACGGTTAATAGACCCTGCCCTAGAACAAATGCCACTTTATTTTTTTTCCCTCTCCCACCCTCCGGCACTTCATGGGTGTTACAGAACTGAATTGGCTCCCCCGATGCCAGGACTATTCATGACAAAATACCCCAAAAACTGAGACGGTAAGGAGACGTCAAAGGAGAAATGAAGAACGGCCAGGTAAACAAGATGAGAGGAGGGAAAGGCTGCAGAAGCAGAAACAGCCTCAGAAACAAAGGCGATGAAGAAACGGTGCAGTCAGCAGCTGTAGCCGCTGGCACAGAGCAACAAAAAGGAACGGAAAGGGAGGAGACCCCAGCTCACACGGGCTCCGAAACTTCACACGTTCAAAAAAGAGAAAACAGGACACAACATGGATCTGGATGGGAGCCGACACAGGAAGCAGACCGACTTCTGGCCCAAAGCACGGCATCACCAGGGCTAATTAATTACCCAAATATCTGATCACTTTGTTAGCGCCATGCTACCCCCGCCCTTATCAGGAGGCTCAGAGGTATCTCAGGGGTACACAGGAGAAAGTTATTCATAAATCTAACTCAGTTTGGTAATGACTTTACATTATTTAAACAAAATAAACGGTTTTAAAGCAAGAATTACCTCTGGCAGTTAGTTGAAATTGCTACTACTAAGTCTCTCATGCTAGCTAATGAAATAATTCTTTAGTTAGTTCTTCAAGTCCAGTCCTTATTTTTTTTAATAAAGCTTTAATTTACAACTTACTTTTACCATTTCAGCCTAGTTTTTTCCCCGTTGTGTTCAAATCCCATCTAAATGAGCTGGTACAGTAACTACTAGCTCATCGGTTGTGTATTATGAATGTAAAAAATAAATATATTTATACTATTTTATATGAAGAAAAATACTTTATTTTAGCTTTTCCATGAATGTATTCTGGTGACACGGCCAGTCAGAGTTTTTGTCATATTTCAAACTATTTTTAGCTAATAGGAAGACTGTCTGCTATAAATCAGTGGGTCTCTTTCAGGTGCTCACTTGCAAAACAATCATGTAATAAAGAGGCCATTTTGAAATAAGCAAATCATAGAGGCTGGTATGAATCATTACTCTGATATTCAACACACTCCTGAGGATAAGACGTCTTCGCTGCAGCAGGAAGTTCAGCTTCAGGTGCAAATTAACATTTCCCACAGCGGTTTCACAGAAATCCTATGAAAAGTGTCTGAGCATGTGTGACGTGCAATAAGATGATCCAGGTGTCAACAGGAAGCTACGTTGGTGATTTGGAACAGGTGCAAAGCAACAAAAACTTAATCTGGAATGCAAATGAGATGTAAGACTTTGATGAGAACGATTCGAAACAACAAAAAACAGACCTAAAGCATGAAGCCAACCAAAAACAGCCAGACAGGCTCGGATCAAATGTAGCAAAAATCAACCAATTTGATTGTGTAACTTGGCCTAAACGTCTCAGCTAGTTGCCTGGCAACTCCATAGTGGCACATGCAGAGGAGTGAGCTGCAGATAGCAGGATATTGAAATGTCTGAGCAGGCCAAACTAGGAAACACATTAGGATGATTTACATTTAGGACTATATGGACAAATTTGAATGAATCTGAAATGTTTGAGAGGTAATTATCAGTTCAGAATAAGCAAGAATCTTCCTAAAGCTTACATTTCTTAAATTGAGGTTCTATGAAGTTATTATTTAAAGTTTAAAGATGCCATTTTGCAACTTTGTAGGAAAATAAAAAGAAATCATTAAGCTATCTTAGCTTAATGATTACAGAGGTTAGCCTTCTGTAAGCAGCAACAGGCCACAAAAAATAATTCAGACTTTAATCTCAAAATCAGAATACTGAAAGAAAGTCATTTCAGAATTTCAGACAATTCTAATCAACATCAGAATTGAGTTTATTTCTTATCTGAATTTAAAAAAAGGTCTGAAATCAAATTAATCTCACAACTATGACTTTTGCAGAAATGACTCAAATCAAAACTTTGATTTTTCTTCTTAATTTTTATTTTTTTTCCCCCCAAATCAAAAATTGGAAAAAGTCAAAATTCAGACAATCTCAAAATTCTGACAAATTTTTCTATAAAATGCCAGAATAAGTCATATAGCTGCTTTACAATGATGGGGGGGGGAAAAAAAACGTGAAAAGTTAATTAAAATCTAAAAACCTCGGTAGGAACTGAGCTGTCTTAGCTGGAATACCTTCCTAAGCGCTGCATCCAGAACGCCTTTAAACTGAGAACTCCACCAGCATGAAGTTCTCTAAACCAGATTCAGATTCTATGAAAACTCCAGACGTTCTTTAAAAAAAGCTTTCGAGCATTTAGTAAGTTTTATGGAGAATATCATTTAACTCTCATGATAATAAAATGTATTTGTGTTTCCACCAAGGCTCTGTGCGCTGCTCTGCATGTGAATCCCTGCTGCCTCCGCCCGGCGCAGCGCGGAGCCCAAAACCGCTTATTTGTAAGCACCTTTTGTCCGAGCGCTGGGCGGCATTCTTTGGCAGGAGAAAGGAGGGGTGGGGGGCGGCGGAGGGCTCTCCGTCCCGCTTCCTGTGCCGCCGTGTCGCCTGCCAGCCCAGTGGATCCGTCCAATCCCTGGCATTTCCCGAGGAATGTGACTGGAATGCTTTCTACTTCTCAAGGTGGGGGGGTAAGAGGGGGGTAACGCCCGGGTCGCGGTTTTCGTCTTGGATTTCATGAGCGGCCTAGAATATCTACAGAGTGGATTCTCCCATAAAGCAACAAAACTGTTAAAAAAAAAAGAAAAAGAAAAGAAGCTTTCTTTCAACAATGAGACACACTCACAAGCATTTGATTTTTTTTCCTTCTTTTTTTTTTCTTTTCTTACATGATCTGGAAAATTTAGGTCAAATCTTGTCTAACGCACCAGCTAAACGGTTCAGGGGAACCTTTAAGAGATAAAGATATATATATTAAAAACACTTCACAAAATAAGGCACTCCAATTTTCTTTCATTGTCCTGACTGCTTTCAGTCTGCAGGATGAAGCTGTAAAAAAAAAAAAAAAAAAAAAAGAAATGGCCTGATCTACCTCTGCATTGTCACAATGCTTCAAAGCAGCGGGGGGAGATGAAAGCAGCTGATAGGAGCAGGATGACAGAAGATCAAGATGAGGCTGCTGATCTGGATTCTGCTCCTTCAAAGGGACAGCAGTAACACAGACGAGACGCAGGGAAAAAATGAAAAAGAAAAATGAAATTGGCACCAGCCGTTGGTTCACAGGCAGATATCCCACAATCCATTGTATCACCTTTTCCCCTGGCTTTCTGCTCTCCAAAGCACCAGGCTGGGGTAGAAAGAAGAACTACAATGCCTGCAGCTCCCTACCCTCAGTGGGATTTTAATTTGAAAGGTTCCAAGTTTTCGTCCCAACGACAAACACAAAACTAAAAAAAAAAAAAAAGAAAACAACAGTAGTGAAAATGGTCCTGGACTGAATTGGATTGGCACCTGATTGAAGTTGCTCCGCAACCGCCACCTTCTTCAAATTAAACAAAATTGGTGCAGCAAAAATCTTCATTTGTGCCGCTGTCATTTTAAAAGATATTACTAAATGTTTCCAGAGGCCAACAAAGTCGACCAGCTATTCCACATTTACAAAATCAAACAACATATGGTTTCAATCAACAGGACTACATTTGTGCAGTATTCATTTTTGTTTGTGCCACTGTGATTTTTAAGATTTCTAGGTCACCAGACTCCCCCAGACGTCTTCTACCAAATCACGACGTTTCCAGATACTCTTTGAGGTACACCAAATTCTGTGTCAAATTTGGTGCTACTAAAATTTTAGCTGTACTAACCAGCACAAACACATAGCACAATTCGTTTATATTAGTGCAGTTTAATTTTGTTAGTGCGGAGGCGGTAGGGGCAGGTTGATCTTCTGAAACTTAAAAAAAAAAAAAAAATCTTAAATATTATAGCTGCACAAACAAGCACAAATGGTTTGAGGCACCATATGTTGTTTGATTTTGTAAATGTGGAGTGGCTGATTGACCTTTGATGACCTCCAGAAACATTTATTAACATTAATTAAAATTTGAGCAGCACAAACGTAGCACAAATGTTTGACACCAATTACACTCAATTTGAAGAAGTTGGGGGCGGGGTCAACCTCACTCAGGTATAGCTGGGATGAAGTCTGCATTCCATATAATCCATGACTGGGAATGAGATTTGGATTCAGAAGCGATCGTCTCTGAGTTGCGTTGGCGACTTGAAGGGCTTGAGCCCCAGCGTCCTGCGGGGGTGGGCTCTCTCTTTGGTCATGTCCAGAGGCTTGCCACAGGCCGCCCAGCCCAGGTCCATGAAGGCCGGGTCCGCCGGGTTGATGGGTGCGATGCGGAACGAGGGCAGCGTGGGCGAGCCGTTGGTGGAGCACGGGGCGGATCGGGAGATCGGGAACGGAGCGGAGAATGGGTCGAAGGGCGGCGTGCCATCGGAGCTGCTAGAAGGGTCCGCCTTGAGGGCGAAGGGGTCGCAGTCCGGAGAGGGGAAAGGGTCACAGCTGGTGAAGGGGTTGGTGGGCGAGGGCTGGTAGCCCAGGGCGTGGCCGTCTGAGCGGATGGGGCTGCGGCCGCCTGCTGAGATGGCACCACCCGCCGAGATGAAGCTCCAAGGGTCGATGCGGGGCCGGATGGGAGACGGGCGTGGCCGGGGGATGACACTGACCTCTAGGCGGCGGGTTTTGGGGCTCCATAGCGCTGGGTTGGGGTGGAGGGCGTAGGGTACGGAGGTCTTGTCCTCAAAGTCCAGTGTGTCTTGGCATAGGGGGAGATCTAAAACTGGAACAAAACAACAAACCAGTGTTACGCTTCAATAGATTCCTAAATAAAAAGAAACTTTCCACTCTCGTTAAGTGTGGAACATCAACATTTTACTGGGATTTGATGTTATAAAAAACAAGTAGCACACCATTGTAAAGTGGGATGAAGATGATACATGATATCAAAAATGCTTTGATAAAATAAATCTGGTGGGGAATACTAGCTATAAAAAGTTAATTGCGCTAACCCTAAAGCACTAATCAATCTGCTAGCACAAAAGAATTATTCAAACTGAAGCTAATGCTAAAGTGCTAACTTCAGTTCAAATTACATTTGCCCTTGAATGACAACAACCTTCAACAACAATATAACATGTACATTTTATTTTAAAAAATGTACATGTACATTTTATTTTAAAAAATTTACATTTACAGATATTGTATTAATATATTGTTCTTTATTTTGTTCTTGTATATTTGTTGTTTGAAATCGTTATTAGTGAGAAAACATAAAAAACGTGAGATAAACAACTATTTGAAGAATTCTTAACAGTTGATAACTAAAACATGAAAACAGATGTAAACTTTATTCATCTCAAAGTTTATGCATTAGTGCTTAAGAATTTTTCTAGGTGTGCTAAGCGCAAACAAAATTAGCTGTATGCTAATCCGCTATTAGCACATTAGTAGAGGTTGTTATTCTTAATTTTATTCTTTTATTTTAAATCTGGAATGGAATTATGTCATATTGCTGTAAACAAGTGAATTCAGTTCCAAGTCCTGTTCGGTCAATTCGTCAGGTTCGTCAGTGAACAAATATCCTGAAGACCAAGGAGCACAGCAAAAATGTCTCTTTAACCGGATCTAATGGTGGAAGTGCTCCACTCAAGTCTCTCTCATCTGATTTAATCTGTTCAAAAACCCTTCAGAACACAAACCTGTGCAGTGAAATTGATCAAAAACAAGAAGATGAAAGCACAACGTTACTGCAACACGAAAAAAGAAAATAAAAGAAATGGAGCAATTACAAGTGAGGAATGTTGATGTAATTAGTCTCAATTAAGTGAAACATAGTGCTGTTTAACTAGTTGACAGAGCTGCAAGAGCAGCAGACAAAGCGTAAATTGGCGCTGACAAGAACATTAAACTCAGAATAAATCACCCTGAGTGAACATTTGCTGTTTCTAAATGTGACGCGTCTGCCAAATGGCATTATTTACATCAACAGTTACCCTCAAAGGCTGTCGAGCTTTTCAGCTGACAAGAGCGAGCAATCAGGAGTCACACAAGAGCAGCAGAATATTAAAAAAAAAGAAGAAGAAGAAAGTGAGAAAAATCCTCTGAATAAACATCTCTTTTTCAAGCGCAGGCTGCCAGGCGAACAATGTGGCAGTCTGTCGCCTGCGTCATTCCAGGGTTGTTTAGCTAAAACACACTTGGTTAATGATGTGGGTTTTTTTTTCTTGTCTTAAAATTCAGGGTTTTTGCAGGTTTCCCCAAAATCAAATTTAAGACTTTTTAAGGCTATTATAAAGGGAATTTAAGCCCTACGACTGGAATGTACAAACTTCATCCAGCCGACAGCCGATAAACTTGTACTCCACAATCATGAACTACCACAGCAGTAGCAGTGGCATGCTAGCCTCAACCGTCTCAATAAAGAAGTCTGGGTGCGACTAAACAGCAAAGTCCCCCAAGAAAAAATTACATAGAGCATACAAGATTAAATAGTTCTTCCTGTCAAGACAAAATTTAAAAACTGTCCCCATATATTAAAGGCAAACTTAATTTTTACAATAAATTGAATACTTTTTAAGGCCTAACATTTAGATACATTAATTGAAGACTTTTTGAGCATGCGAGGGCAACGTGTAAGGTGTGTATGCGTTTTTGAGACGTAGTTCAAGCGACCAAAAAATTTGGAGAACATTCAGACCTGTTTTCAACACCGGGGTGTTACCACAGGGGGGCGCCAAAATTGGGTCGTTTACATTACTGGAGCATAAATTGAAACAGGTGTAAAGAAAATCGATGCAACTGTGTGAAAAATTACATCATTGACATTTCCTTTGAGCTTTCATTGTGTTTTTCATGTGTTTTCATCACAAAAGATAACCTTGCAAATCTGCATGAATTTGCATTCATCTCCCTTTACAAAATAAAATCCGATTAAGTGGAATAAGTATAAATCCAGATGTTCTCAGAAGGCCTCACAGATTTGCTAGAAAACATTAGAGAGCAAACAAAAACACTAAGGCCAAAGAACTAGGGGTGCACTGATTGCCGTTTTCTAGACAACCTTCACTCTTAAAAATCCTCATTCCAAATTTTGGCCGATACCAAATTTTATTTATTTATTTTTTGGGGGTCAAAAAACAGTCACTAAATACTGCAACAAAATCGTTAAGGTTGGAACTTCACAATATTTCTAGTCAGAGAATCTGAATACAAATGCATGCCGCACTTTTCATATTTTTAGTTGTTCCCTCCTACTCCACAATCATGAACTACTTTGCGTCGGTCTAAAACTCAGAGAGAAAACAGCACAAAGAATGTAGCACAAAACATAATGTGAACACTGAAATGTGTTCACAAATGTGTTACTGAAAGGCATAGTGGTTTCACACAAATTCACCCAGCTTTCCAGCAGACAGACTGCAGATTAGCAGTCTGGAATCTGCTACATTTCCATCCAATGTGCTGCACTCATCCTGCACTATTCAATCTCAGAAGAGTGAAAAAAACAGCATTTAAAAAAAAAAAAAAAAAAAAACCTGGTTGATAGCTCTGCTTAGCCAGTATTACCAGTGAAGTACAGCAAGGGCCAGCTGTTACCTGAGATATGCAAATGGCTGCAGAGAAGCTTTGATGCTAATGAAAAAGCTCCTGCAGCAACGAAGTATCCCCTGTGCTGCTAAATGGAAACAAAAATTCTCACTAAAAACAAAAGACAATGATAATTCCGGGAGAATCGTGTGTGTGCGTGTGTGTGTGTGTGTGCGGGGGTGGCACGTTGTTATGCTGCGGTGGTACAGGACTCAAGGTTAAAGCCGGATTGGGATTTGCGTGCGCGGCCGGGTGGAACGAGCTCGGTTAGGGGTTGCAGATGAATCACGGAGCTAAATTAAAAACCCGAATCCAAAACCCAATCTGGGCGAAGAGCAGGTACTTAAAGGAAGTACTCTGCTGATTTAAAATGGCACTTCCAATAAGAAGAGAGCTGGAGAAGACAAATTAAAAAAAAAAAGGAAAAAAAACACTAGTGAGAATTAAAACAGCAGAGGTAGACTCTAATTATTATTAGATCAGGCTAAGGAGGCTTTCTGGATCTTCAGCAGTGGCTCTTAATAACTCTGCCTTAAAATTATTAAGAATCAACTAATGTTTCAAATGTAAAATTAATAACAAATGCTGCTTTAAACTGTTTTTTATGTAATAAATTGATTTTCCACACCAGAAGTATGGGTGATAGTGTTTTGGATCCACATTTTTTGTTATTAAATTGGAAATCATTGTTCGTTTCTCATTTCTACAAAAGTTTGTTTTTTCTTTATTTTAAAACTTAAAAACAGAAATAAAAATAACAAATTTCCTTAAGTTGATATTTATATTTTATATTCATTTAAATGAGGTACATTTTTTAAAGTAATTATTTTTAAGTGGCTGGGCCAGACTTTAAGAAGAGCTTACAGGGATAGAAGCCCAGCGAGTCAAGTTTTTGGGGGCTCCAGAGATTAATTTTTTAAATGCATTTTTATAAATGCATGTTTTATAAAAATCATAGTCTATATAAAACTAACCAATCCGTGTTAAATGAGGTGTTTTAATAATGTAAATGTTGAATCAAAACAATATGAGTAATTAAAAATTTGATTCTAAATCTGAAGTACATCTTTTCAGGACTAATATGTAGACATCCGTGTGTAAAGTTGTTCCCACTGATGAGCTCCACCAATGTGTTTTCATTTATATGAGTAAAATACATTTTTGGTCAATAGAGCACCAAAATTAGCCCCTATCCTTTTTAAGTTGACCATGAGCGCAGGGCATTCTGGGTAAATAAAACCAAAACAAACACCTGCTTGTTTTTTAGGGTTAGCAGGAGAAATGACTTGCTGTCTTGTACCATCAACAAAATCTACTAAAATCTGACGCTGTCATATTTGTTTACATATTGTGAAGTAGAAAGTGTCTTCTTCAGTGGTTCTTGATGCAGCACTCCCACAGGCGAGGAGGGAAACTGCACCAGGTGAAAATGCTACAAATGTCCCAACTTTGATCCCCAGTTGAACCGAGTCTACCGGACTATCGGGTGTAATATTATTTATGTGGATAAAGGCAAATGTGGCTGTCAGAGTTATAACGGCATGGGGAGTGAACCCACTGACCCAGCTGGGAGGCGTGCAGGCCGTAGCTGGACCTCCTCCTGCGGTCGGGTCGGTGCTCCCAGGCCTCGCTGCTCAGCTCTCCGTTGCTGGAACCAGAACTAGCGGTCCAGTCCGCCGGGACAGCGCCGTCCTGCTGCAGTGGGGTCCCCGGGCTCGGCGGGCCGCTGTGGTGCGTCTGCGGCGTCCGAGGGCCGGACCTTTCGCGAGGGTTGGGCGGTGGTGGCGTCAGGGGCAACGGCTTCAGCTCCTGGTACTGCAGGGCTAAATCCAGCAGCGGCTTGGGGAGCGGCTCAGAGGTGGAGAAGGTGATGAGATCGTCCACCACCGGGGGGTCAGTTATGAGCGGCCTGGGGGGGGAGATCTCCAGCTCGAAGGAGGAGCGTTCCTCCAAGGCGGGGGGGTTAGTTCGAGGGGGAACTCTGGGGGGGACGTCCAAGCCCCGACCCAATGCCACGGAGGACAAGAGGGAGCCGCAGCCTAGCAATGCCCGGTGCGTGTTCTTGACGGCGCCGCCAAGGAACCCCCTCTCAGGCATGGGGGAGCCGGCCGGGGAGTAGCCCCCCTCCTCGCTGCCAGAGTCTCCCTGGGAAGGGGGGAGGCGGAGGCTGTCCTTCGACGAGGAGCCTATAGAGAGAGAGAGAAAGTTTAGAGAAAAAAAAGGGATGCGAGACAGAGAATAATGACTCCACACATTTATTATTCATTCAGCTTCTGTTTCTAATTCACACTCCCAGACTTGGGTGAGTCTTAAAGGAGCAGTATTATGCGTTTCAAGGCACATAGTGCCAACTTATAGCACAGTCAAGTAACTATGTTAACTTCAGTGGTTAGAAACTCAAATACGAGTTAAAATTTGAGTTTGTAACTTAAAGTCTTGAAATTAGGCCTCCGTCACTTTAATTCTTCCTGGTCTTTCGGAAACTCCGCCTTCAGAAAGTCATCACAACATACCTCCTCTACTATGCCTTTAACATTTTTACCAGCATTGCACTGAGCAGTAGCTCCTACAATGAGCTCAGCTCCACCAGGTGTCTGCTAATTGGTGGCTAGTCTGAAGGAGCTGAGTTGGGGAGGAGCTATGTTCACTCAGGCGATTTGCACAGCTGAATGGTTGCCATAGAGATTAAATGATTTCTCAAACATGCACAAAAGGATCAAAGCAACTCTCTCTGTTTTCAATGATGGAATAACATAACATGATGTAAAGCTAAAAAAAGTCGATTTTACATAGTACTGTCCAGACGTTACCGTTCTGAGTGGAAGCCGAGGTCGGCGTGGGGGGGCGGTACTCCTCGAAGTCGTCCATGGCATCTCCGTTCTCGTTGCTGTCCGACTCCAGCAGCTTGGCCCTCATCGATAAACTGGAAGCAGTCAGACGAGCAGAACATCTTAGAACATCTAATATCAGCATCAGTCGCTGGACTGAAAAAAAACTTGGAGGCAGATTCTGTTCAGTCTAATTCTATGTGTTGTTCTCTAAGTGACATCATGCTTTATTATTCATTATATTTAGAATTCCTAATAGCACTTTGTAAACCATTGGAAGAAGTTTTGTTGCAGTTTATTTTTACATGTTTGACCAAGTCAACCTATTGTTTTTGTCAATTTCAGTTTCTTTATTATTATTTTACATTATTCTCTTAACTGCACCGACTGAATAAATTAAGGTTGTGTTTTCATGTTTGACCAAGCTTGTGAAGCTGTTGGTGTATTTAGGTGTGCTATGCTGGTGCAGAGGTATCAGATACATTTGTAATTCAGCACATTTATGTCTGTGTTTGAAAAAAGAAAAAATATTTCAAGTCAATTCAGGATTGCTCTTCTGCATCGGTATTGTACCGGGAGTGAAAAAAGTGGATTCTGCATCCCCGGTTTTGATGTTATTTATTTATTTCCTTCATTTACGGTTTAAAATCAACATGTCACTTTGTGATATAAACAAAAGTTTTGAATGAAAGTTTGTGGTCAGAAATAAGGATGGATAAGAAAGGATTTCCAGTAGCAGTCAGTGATGGAACAAATTAGAAGAGGCCTCTGACTGAAGACCGTTATTTCATCAGGCTTATGACTAACGGTCACACAGGCAGCTCAGTGTCCAGGCAGCATCCATTATGTTTGATGGAAGAGAAGGTCTGAACTTCCTTCTTCTCCGTCTGCAGTCACAAAGTTTCACTTTCAACTCCTCTGTGATTTGTGGTTGTAGTTTAGGGTTGTTGTTTTTGTTTTTCTGTTTTTTAGCTTTTTGATATCCTAGTTGTAAAAACAATACCTTTTGTTACTCAGAGTAACAAAATAAAAATACACTAAAATTCCTTCCAGCTGCATAGAATCCAAAACCAGAGGGAATAAAAGTCTGAAAAAACAACAAACCAGAACTAACATAACAAAGCTATTTCTATATGCAGCCACGAGCAGCGCAGCTCTCAAACGGTTTTATGTTTGTTGAAGTATGTAATATGTGATTTGTTGTTGTTGTTGTTTAAATACATATTGTTAAAAAAGAAAAGAGCAGAACCAAAGTAGGAAATTAGTGGTTTAAAGTCCCGGCGTACCTGCTTTCCTGGGGACTCAGCCGCAGAACCTTGGGGCTTTTGGGACTCTTCGGGCTCTGGGGCCTCCAGTGTGGGTTCAGCCTCATGTCTCCGTTGGACTGCTTGTGAGACGGGGTCTCTAATGACCGGACCGGGGCCAGACAAAACGTCCTGCTGTCGCTGGGACTGACTGGAGAGACCGAGACCGAGACCGAGAGAGGACATGAGATGAAATTAATCTGCACTGGCTACAGTTTTTCTACACTTTTCTCTCATGTTTTTTGTTTTTGTATTTCCAAGGCCGATGGTGACACTCAACCTTCAAACTGATCAGAACCACACAAGGTTTACAGTGAAGAGGGAACTGGTGGGACTTCAGCTCTAAGAATAACTGAGATTGCATCTGCCAAGCTCAAGTGACACATCTCAGCTCTCCTCACACCAACAGGTCTGCGCTGCCAGCAGTGTGAACAGCATACAGTAACACAGTAACACAGAGGATGTCTAAACCAGCCGTCTGTAACAGCTGTCACTGTGCTAAAAGCTTTAAAGGGACAGAGTCATGTGTTTTCCAGGCACAAAGTCCCATTTTATAGCACAATAAAGTAACTATGTTACCGTCAGTTGTTACAAAAAATATTAAAAAAAAATTAAATAAAATATGACTTCAATATTTATAGGCTTGAAACTGCACCTCTGTCTCTTTAAGAAATCCCTGCTCGTTCTGAAGCTCTGCCTTCAGAAAGTCATCACAACATGGCTCCTCTATTTACCCTTTAGCAACGTTTTTACCACTGAGAAGTAGCTCCTACAATGAGCTTAGGATGTGTTCAACCAGGTGTTTGCTAATTGCTGCTAGCTAGTCTGAAGGAGCTGCGTGGGGGAGGCGCAAACTCAAACTCTGAAACTGCAGCCCAGTGGAGGAGCTTCATCCTTGAAGAAGCTAAGTCCAACCAGGCGTTTTGTACAACTGAATGGTTACCATGGAGATTAAAGGATTTCTCAAACATGAATGAAAGAATCAATTCAACACTACCAGGATACTGCCCCATAAAGCCTTTTCCAAGAGTTTTTACCCCTGCTGGTCTTTCTGACTTTAGACCTAAAGGGAGTGATGCTGAGCTGGCTTCCTACAGTTTAAAAACACATTTCTGGTATTTTCTCTTCAGAAATTTGGCTCAATTATTGTTCCCTTGTAGTTAAAGAGTACTGATTTATACAAGTGCAGATCAAAGAGTTTCTCCTTAAAATATGTAGTGTTTAGGGCTGGGCAATTAAAAACAAAAAACAAACAAAAAATCTCCCCATTTTTTATATATCAAATTTGATTTTCAAATTTTTTTTCTGCACTTTTTTTCCTTAAAAAAAAATAAAAATGAAATTCAGGTCAACTAATCTTTTCTTTGTGTTGGTCTTTCACATTAAATTCTAACTGAATATGTTTACCTTTGTGTTTGCAATGTGACAAAATTTGGAAGAGATGTATGAATACTTTTGAAATCCACTAGACACTAATT